TAGCATCAATACTTTTTGCACTCGAACAAAAGAATTTCCTTGAGCAATTTTACTATATCTCCACTAACACTTATCACTTACCCTAACTTAAACGAACTTAAAGACTTTTTGATACACCACGGATACTATCACGTGACGGTAACTTTTTTACGGCGACGCTAGGGAAGATTGGCAGTGGCCCAGAAATTACATGTGCAGACAATTCTCTCTATACACAATGTTTTCATTTTTGCAACCAAAAGTATAAGTATATTAAATAAAATGATGCTTCTTTGGATATTTATTATGTAACTATTCATAAAATGATTTTTTATAAAGACGATAAAAACTATTACGGTAAAATGAATTTTATTATTATTGACCATTTTATTTTGTTTTAAGGACAAACAAACAGAATCATAAAAAAAAAAAAAAAAAATTTTTTTTAGAATCTTGAGATGCCCACAACCACCAGTAATTTGACTTCTCAGAAACTTTTTACATATTTAAGTATTAGTATTAAAAAATACAGTCGATACTGTCTAATTGCATATACTCTCTAAGTGCATAAAAAATTTTTGGCTTTTAATTATTAATACCAAAATAGTTCTTACAATTTAAATGCATATATTGTCTATATGCATAAAAAAGTCTCTGACGGATGGCATGCAATTAGACAGTATCGACTGTAATATAAAGTAACCATACATTTAAATTTTTAATTGTCCTTTTTTTGACGTACATGAAAAAAATACTATACACGAAAAAAAATATTGTATATAAGATCTTAAAAGAATATATATATATATATACATATATATAATTTAGTGCACATAAAGACGTGAGTATATGGTTACGATAGAAATGAGAGTATGGCATGAAGGCAGGGATATTGTAAATGAATTTGAATGTTCCGCCAGGGAGGCATAAAATATAAAATGAATGGGATATTTACCAATGAATAAAAATAAATAAAATTGAAAAAAGATATAAAATATGAAAAAAATGCAATATATTTTAATAATTGATAATGTTCTATTGTGGAATCTATAAAAGAATGATGTATATGCAAAAATAAAAGAATGTATATTCAAACAAGGGGATGCAATGATATATAAACACTATATATAAAAGTATTGTACAATTTTTGACATTTTTGTTGCAAAACTACCATTGTTATAATTTATAAATTGGCATTGGAAAATCTATGCGACTTGTCAGAAGCTAGGACAACACTTTCAAGGGGCTTGATTTCCTGAGTATTTTCCAAAGTTTCCTGTTTATGAACAACAATTTTATTAATAATTATGGCACTATTTGTGCTATATCTTTTATTCGACCTTTCATTGATCGAAGAAGCACAAGAATTCTCTTCAAGATAGTCTCTATTTATTTGATTTTGATCGAAAGATATTTGTGATGACCGTTTTGGAAATATAAAGGATAATGGTTCAGAATGATTGTATTTTTGTAAGTAAGACTTTAGACGAAATGAAGTGAACCCAGTTCTTGGTGATGTTGAAAGTGACGTTGAAGGTTGAATTTGAGACATGCGATTATTATTTTCTTCTTTATTTTTATCTACAGCGTGATTAGTCAAATTATTTAAGGCATGGTTGTGA